CATAAAGTTTGAAATTTTCAGAGTAGGGCCCATTTTGGTCTTGACCACATTCATTAATTGATTTGGCTAAAAATTGTATTTATGCCCCTGGGGTAGGGAACCATCATACAGATAATTGCCACATAGGAATTTATTTAAGTAAAGTCCCCACATTGGAGTATCCCCAAGTCCACTTTCACATCTAATGTGTGGTCAGAAAAGAAAATTTTGTATTCTATTGAATTTGTAACCCCCAAGAGAATATTGGTTGGGCCACGTTTTGGTATAACCCTTATATAAATGTATCCCTGATTTCAGCTGTGACCGTGGTCTTGGCCACGTTTTTCAACTGATTTGGCCATTATTTGCTGTATTTAGGCTACTTTTTGAGTAGAGAACCATCTTACAGAAAAATGTCAACATACGTAAATATTTTGGTACAGTCCCCATATAGTCCTCAGGCCTGCCGATCTATAGTGATGTTTACCCATTGGCGGACAACAACGCGGGTATTGTTTAATCGTCATTGAATTTTACTATGAACAAGAAAATATACTTTTTGGGGACTCTCATGCGCAATTTGATGTGCTATGGTAATGGGTGTAAAAGCGTAATTAACTTTGACTATTCAGAAATTATTTTGCCCTCCTTCCATAGTTATTTATTTCTACTTAGTCGAATCTTATATTATATTTAAATTTGTTCACCTTTATGAGGTAGATTTGTAAAATATTATGCTATGCAAAATTTGCATTAAAGACTAAAACTACGGGCCGGCAACGCGGACCGGGCCAGCTAGTATATATATAAAAATCAATTGTTGTTCGTTGGTAATGGAATCAGTTGAAAACGGCTAGACCGATTTGCATCATTTTTTGTACAAACGTTCGTCATACCTCGAGTTAGGTTTAAAAAAAAAATATATTGATCACGCCTACTTTTACGCCCACTATCTTGGTTTATCTAAAATCTTTATATTTGCCAGATAATGAAGATGTCGGTTTGAAAATTATTACACGAGATACTGTTGACTTTCCCTCCAACCCTAGGGAATTATTTGGGGGCTGAGGAACTGACCACGCATACTTCTAATCTCTCTATATATACACAATAAAGTTGTGTTAGTTACCACGCTTATAACTCAAGAACCGTTGATCTGATTTTAACGTTTCACACAAATTCGGAATTGTCTCTTGGCAGAAAAGGATAAAATCCAAAAAAATCGCTTAAAAATGTGAAATTTGAAAATTTTCATTTTGACTTTTGAACTGTACAATAGTAATATTTTATTTTGCATGATTTTTTCCATTTTGACTTACTATTTTGGAATGTTCATTTGAAGTGTTTTTTTTTTCTTTTTTTGTATTCTAATGGGTATTTTTGGGTAGTAAAAAGCGACGACAATTATAGAGTGGCGGACATGAATGGATGATGTGAAAATAATTTAACGTGGTCAAACCAAAGTTAAAAGATAATTACTTTTTCAAAATTGCTAATAAATCAAAAAAGAGCCATTGCAAAAACCCTAAAATCGGGAAAAAATAGAGAATATTTTTTCAATGGAATCAAATTTCAAAATAATAATAAGGACCAAACTTCGTAAGGACCTTTAAACATTCGCTGTAAAATACCAGCGAACAAGTTAAAGATTTTTTTTTTCAATTTGTTTATTAATTGCTATGCTTTTAACTCAAGAACGTTTTGATGAATTTTCACAATTCATACAACTTCGGAATGGAATCATGGCGCAAAAAAGAAGGGGAAAAGGATTGCTATTCTTTCAGAAATTCTTCCTAAACATTCACGATACCTTAAATCGTTGTTGCAGTTCATGATATGGGTTATAACCCCGGATAAGGATACAATCCGATTTAAAGTATATCTTACATTTAAACCATATTTTCATACTAATTTCGTAATATGGGAAGAAACTATCCTTGCAAAAACTGATCACGTATTGTATAACCATCATATGATTTAAGGAACCGGGCATTTGTTTAATCGTCTTTGAATTATACTATGATATAAGATAAGATAAGATATGGACATTATGGGGTCTCCAACGCGCAATTTCAATGACAAATATTACATATTACTTTAAAAACAAGTAAACAAATTAAGTTCGGCCGGGCAGAACTATTGTTATCATCCATCTTAGGGTAAAGGAAACATTTTTATATAAAAGTATCTGAATTCAAGCGTGTTTCACTTTAAACTTCATATACCAGTAAGACTGTTTGGATAATGCAGTTAACTTATCAAAAAACCATAAAGTGAATGAGGCCGTTATATGGGGCTATACCAAAACGGGAACCTCTGTGGACAATTTTATACTTCAAGGATTGACACCTATCAAATCTTCTAAAATACCAAATTTGAAACAATTATGTGCGTAAATGTGACTAGGATTATCAACATACCCAATATCGGTAGGTATCGTTATATTTGTTAGACAAATCCGAGGAGAAATGTGGCAAACATCATCAAAATTTCTCAATTTCGAGAGGTACCGTTATATGGGGACTATACCAAAACGTGGACGGAGGATTTCTGCTAAATTTTGATGCTCTACGTCAAATAATGTGGTTGTATCGTAATTTAAACAAACAGACATACAGACGGGGTCTATGACGAACATTTAGGTATGTTACAAACGGAATGAAAAGTTAATATACCCTTCTTTCCAAGGTGGAGGATATAATAAGCATTAAAGACTAAAATTACGGGCCAGCTAGTGTTATTATAAATTTCAGAATAAACCGTGTATCTAGGTTCAATAGCTTTTAAGAAAATTATATCCGTAATTCATGAAAATTATGTTTCTACGTTTCATTCCGTTTGTAACAACCCTAAATATTTTTTATAGACCCAAAGAGCGTATATATTCTTGATTAGCACAAAATTCTAAGTAGAATTAAAGATATCCGTCTGTCTGTGTGTTGAAATCATTAAACAGTCCACATTAATTGCGTAAAGCTTCGAAGTTTGGCACAGTAGTTTGTACTGTGTCTAGGATGGTTGGTATTGAAAATGACATATAGGGTAAGTGTATCAGTAGTCGGCACTTTTAGGCTTTTTAATATTTTAATCTTTCGACATTCTGAGTGAAATCTTTCAATTGTAGAAAAATAAAGTTGTTCAGATTTCAAATTTTTCGAAATAATAAACAACAATTGAATTTGTTTTTATTAAATTGGCAAAATTTGCAATTTTACCAAAATAGTAGTTTTTTGCCAGTAGTCGGCACTATTTTCCAATGCTCGGCATGTCTATTTGCCAGTAGTCAGCATATGCTATTTCATTAAAAAAAATATATTATTTTGTATATGTTTTTATTTCAAATAGTATAAAACAATACTGTAATACTAATTCACAGTTTAATTAACTAATTCCGTTTTTAAATAGTGTTTTATTTAATTATCATTCTAAACCAAATATAGGTAGAAAATCAAGAATAGTATGGATTTTCAATTAAAATAAAAATGAGATTAAATAAAAAAGTACCTTTAGAATACCAATATTTTTTTTAAATGCCACCGCAATCTAAAACGTCAAATAGCTGATTTAAAAAAAACCTACTTAATTTAGAAAAGTTGGTCAAAAAGCACAAATAAAAGCAACTGCCGACTCAAAACTGTTTTTTTTATTTGAGTAGTTTTTGGATTATTTTTTAATAATTTTCTCAAGTTTTGGTGAAATAGATCAAAAATGATATTTTTCTAGTAATCGGCACCCCCTGCCGACTACTGGCAAATCTCTTTTTTTCTGTTCCTAATGTCGGCATTAAATAATATGACAGAAAAATGATTGACTGTGTATGTTTTTTAAGTTATAAAATGATCTTTAGACTGTTATTTACTATTATAAAATATTTCTGATTCCAAAAGTATTAAATTTAATTTACTTAAATCGATTATTAAGTTGACGCCACCACTATTTTTTTCTTTATAAACAAGCACTATCGCACGCGTGGGAATAAACTCACTGACGAAAACCGTTATTCTCTCGTAATAAATGATCGGAGCTCATTGATTTTTTTTTTTTTACAGAAGGAGAGCATAGAACACTGTTGACGTTTTTTGGCAATTATTTCATTATTTGGTCAATTCCATTTTTAGTTATTTAAGTTTAAATTTCAAAACTGCCAACTACTCGGACATGCCGAACTTAGGCGCACTTACCCTATATCATTATTTTTAAGAATTTACTAATTTTTTTCACGGAATGGATCCAGGGTTTAGATTATGAGTTTGTAACAGGGGACAACGTTTTCCTAAAGCGCTCATGTAACGGCACCTTCGGGCTTTCGGGTACTACTACTACGATTAATAGTACCCCGAGTTTCGGCCAATCTTTTTTTAAGGTTTTTATGCACCCTTGACCACATACAGAGGGATCCCAATATTTGAGACATATTTCGCAACATGTAATATAGATCAGTGAGAATTTTTTGAGAGCTCTGGATTAATTCATGAATCATTGCTTTAAAAATGAGCCACGTCGGCCCACTTTTTTCTTTAGTCCGTCCATATATAAAGGTAGACCCCTATTTCAAATATTTTATACGATTTCGTCATATTTTCTATTTAGTTTCCCCAAAGTTTGGAATTTTGAGTTCTTATTATGTGGAAACGCTACTAGAAAAAAATTCAATTTAAATATTGATTCACGTTTTGGTACAGTCCTAATTTAATTTATTGTGAGGGTTTTGACCATGATTTCCAACTTATTTCTCTGGAAATCGTTTGGCTTTCGAAATCGTCTTACTTTTTCAAATTAAAACTACAATTTCATGGTTGAAATAGTAAGATTTTTTGACATTCAGACCACTGTGTCGTAGGCTTTATACAATTTGTCATTTGTACCAATGTACACGCAGCAATATAAATTAATTTAATCTGTTTGTACTGTTGTTGTCACCCATTATTAATAAGTACTTTACGTTACACATCTAGATGTGTGAGAAGGCACATATATATTTGAAAGTGTGTCTGTTTGTATTTATTTTGCATTCGACTTACCCATTGCCATAGTCCCACTAACGGAGGGCGAACACACACCCATACTGGTATAGAGCGCTGCTGAAGACGGTGGTGGAGGCGTTGTTTGTCTGCTGCCCAGCACTGTCGGACAACCCGATGACTTGCCAATGCCACCATGTCCCCCGGGCATCATTAAGCTATTATGCTGAGATGTCGATGGCATCAACATTGTGGTAGCTGTTCCATAATTTGTCGATGAGTGGTCACCCAAAGAGCCGTAAGCACAGTTCGGGATTGGAGCATATGTCATGTAGGACTAGAGGAGTAAATAATGGTAATAAAAGGAAATGAGCACAGGCATGAGAACAATACGATTAATAACTGTTAAGGCCACTCAGGTCCTACCCGTCTGGGTGGAAGTCAACATTCCCTGTGCGACATGCTAATGAGCCATATAATCAGTAATGGTATTTACCTCGTTTCGGTTGGAGATACTAGGCGCAGGCATCGGACTGGTTAAATCAATGTCGGCATCTATGTCGGAGATATCGTCGCCGAAAGAGCTATTCAGTTGCGTCTCACGTGTGGTTTCGTGCTGGTATTTTGCGTTATCGCCACTGCCGCCTCCTCCGCCACCGCTATTTCCAAGTTTATCACTGAGATTCTTCTCGTTGTTCGTGCTACTGGAAAGGCTGCTTTTGCGGCACGAACGCCTTCGCTGCAGGGTCAAACGGCCAATTACAAGTGTCAGGCAAAGCAGCATGCCGGCAGCGACAGATATGATTAAATACAGATAAAATTGCTCCTGGTTTTCTGCAAAGACAACAACACGAAAAGGTCATAAATATGTATATGGGGGCCAGCGTAATCAACAGAAAAAATATGTACTTTGGTTTCTGGCTATAGCTTAAGAAAATTATTGGCTTAAGCATTAGGTTTGCGTCGCAATCAAATGCCTATTAATGACGGGCAATGGGGGTGATATTTGCAGGCATCACATAATAAGAATCCTACACGATTAAGTGTTCATTACGTGAGATGGAAGCGATGGAATTTTATTCAAAAGAGTAACTCACACTCTCACACCCAGGAATTCACAGTGACAGATATTCGTTGAGCACGGATGTTTTGTTGAGTACAAATAAAAGAAGAATTGTCGGTCAGCAAAGAATTGGAATGTTTTGAAATCACATTATTCTTGGCTACAATCAATACAATTTTCTGCTCGAATAACTCCGAAGAGAGCCGTCAGCTATTTTACAAATGGGTTAAATCTATGTTACGGCATTTGTGTTCTATACTGTTTGTTTTGCATGGAAATATGAACATTTGTCGGAATGTTAGTTTTATATGTGTGATATGTTGTTTTAGTAACCCATTTTGTTTTGCCTATTGAATCGATGGGTCTTCTGACTTCGACGAAGATATGGAAGATAGGTGGAGGAAGAAATCTGTAAGAGATTGACAAAAGTCGGCCAGGCCGACTGAATGTTGTTCTACGCTACTTTTAATATTATACAGAGGGGTTGGCTGCGCGTTATGATAAATCGTATCGGAGGCATCTAAAATGTTTGAATATTAGTATGAAATTAAGTTAGGAAATAAAAAAGCCAAATTACAAGGTTAATCAGGATATATGTTGTACGAAAGAAAGTTATCTTATGTAAATTAGGTATACTTTAGCCAAGCCACTTAATTAAGACAGACAACATTAAAACCATTTTGAACGTTATGTCAATAAAATATTTATTCAATCGAATAAATGTTAAAATAACAAAAAATTATCTGTTCAATATACACGATATAAATTGCACAAACATCAACACTTATCACAATTGTGACATTTTTGTCGAACGTCGAATAAATCCCCAACATGGCTTAAACCAGCTTAAAATATTATTTTTTAATTCAAACTTTCAATTTTTCAGATCGAGAATCTGAAAAGTTGAAGGAATGTCCAAGTATTTGTTTTGAAAACCTTTAAGTGTCGCATTTTTATACCCTCCACCATACATAGTATGGAGGGTATATTAAGCTCGTCATTCCGTTTGTAATTCATCGAAATAATAATTTTAGACCCAACAAAGTATACATATTCCTGATCAGCCTGAAATTCTAAGATGACTTAGCCCTGCCCGTTCGTCCGACACTTAAAGATTTTTAAAACAAATACTTGGGTACCATGGGTATTGGTACCCCCGATATTCAATATTTTGACGATTTCAGACACATTTTTCAATGAAATTGACTATAATTCTACTCAAAGACATCTTTGTGAGTACTTTACCCCTGAAATAGAATTGTCATATATCGGCATCTTCCGATATTCGTAGATTCCGATAGTTCGGACGGGCCGAACTTTGAATACCCTCCACCATTTGGAACGAATTTGGAAATAAAATCCTTAAAAAATTCTCTTAAAATTTTAAAAATACCGAATATAGCCGTTGTATTGGTGTCTATACGACATGGACCTACATCGACATTGTTTGTCATAAGTCATTACCATATTCAAATTCGAAACTTGAAATAAACGGTGAATAATGTAGCTAAAATCATCAAAATATCGTACATAGAGAGGTAGCGTTACATCGGAGCTGTGCGAAGACCTGAACCAGCAAGGACAATTTTCTGCCATAGGCTGTAGCATCCACTACGAACTTCAAATACGCGTCTCAAACAAATTCGGGGGGTATTGTACCTAAACTCGCCAAAATACCGAATATAGGGAGGTACTGGTTGTGGGGTCTATACGAAGACCTGGACCTGCATAAACAATGTTCTTTCACAGACTGTAGTTACCATTACGAGCTCTAAATACGTAATTTGAAAAAATTCCGGTGAATAATGTCGCTAAAATAATCAAAATACCGAATATAGGGAGGTACCGTTATATGGGGTCTATATGAAAACGTGGACCTACATGGCCCATTTACGAACTTAACCTGCCTACTGGAAAAATAAAAAAAAATTGATGCTGTTAGCCACATTTTTCAATGGAATTGTCTTAAAATCCACACAAGTAGTTCCTGTGAGTACTTTACCCCCTGAGAGAGAATTGTCTATATACGTCCACTATATCGTATATTCCCCATATACCGGTACCCCCCAATATTCGGTATTTTGATGATTTTACCCACATTTTTCAACAGAATTGTCTGAAAATCCACCCAAGAGTTCCTTGTGGGTACTTTATACCTCGGCAGAGAATTATTTATGTAGGTCCACGATATCGTATAGCCCCCATATAACGGTACCCCGATATTCAGTATTTTGACGATTTTAGCCACATTTTTAGCCAAGGAGTTCCTTGTGAGTACTTTACACCCGGACCACACACACAATCGTATATCCCCCCATATATCGGCACCTTCCTATATTGGATATTTTAAAGATTTTAAAAGAAGTTTTAATGGATTTTATTTTTTTGAAAATTTTCTAATTCGTTCCAAATTGTGGAGGGTATTCAAAGTTATAAATATACCGTTCGAAATATTTCAGTCAGCGAACGAAAACAAACAAAACGAACAACGTACCGCTCACACGGAGTCACAAACTTTAAAATTTCTTCAATCGTTTACTACTACAAACAAAACAAAACCGCAAACATTTCAATGTTAGAAATACACAAACAATACGATTGCCTCAATGTACTTCGAGTTGTTATTGTAAATATTGGATTTTGTATGATGGCCATAATAAATTAATAACAAGTAAAAAAGCTGTAAGTTCGGCCGGGCCGAACTTTGAATACCTTCCACCATCTGGTACAAAATTGGGCAATTTTCAAAAAAAAAAAATCCGTTAAAATTTTTTTTTTAAATTTTTAAAAATATCGAATTTAGCCGTATATTAGGGTCCTATAGCTGTTAAAGTTATTCCAGTAACTTCTCATTATATTATTTACAAGCGTACAAACGCATTTTGGTGAGAATTTTCTGGAAAATAAAAGTGATGGAATTCAACCGTGATAGTGTGATTTCTTTATATTTGGCTGGAAAACCACAAGTGGCTATCGTTAGAGCATTCCAGCATTTAAATGTGAATAAATCTTTTGTGTCTCGTACCATCGCTCGACGTCAAGGAAGTGGACGAAAGAAAACAGCAACATCAGCAGATATGGTTCGAAAAGTAAAGAAGCGACTTGATCGAAACCCGCGTCGCGGTGCCGAAAAATGGAAAAGTGAATATTCCATTCGGCAAATATCGAAAAATAAGCTCGGATTAAAGCCATTGAAATTCCAAAAAATGCAAGAACTTACACAGCAACAGAAAGAAAATAGACTCAAAAGAGCTAAAGAGTTGCTTCGCTTGACCGAAAGTGGTGAACGGCCGAATTTGGTTTTCTCCGATGAGAAAACATTCGTTGTCCAGCAGTTTGTAAACAAACAAAATGATCGTGTTTACTTGTCAATTAGATCAGCTGAAAATGTGCACCCACGGTTAGCCACCAGAACTCAAGCGGCGGCCATTTTGATGGTGTAGGCCGCCATAACAGCCGTTCTCCGCTCGTATTAATCGACCGTGGTATCAGAATAAATGCCGAATATTATAGCGAAAATATTCTGGAGGGTGTCTTAAAGCCTTGGGCACGCAAATAATTAGGCCGCACACGTTGGGCATTTCAACAGGACTCCATCGCACTCAGCACACTCGACCCTAGAATGGTTACAAAAGGAGGTTTTTCGCTTCATTTCCAGCGCTTAATGGTCACCAAAATCTCCGGATACCAATCCGTTGGGTTATTGTGTCTGGAGTATTTTGGAATGCAAGGTTGGCACTAAAAAATACCAAAGTGTCGATCACCTCAAGCAAACGCTTTGCCGGGATTGGGTCAAAATACCGCAGAGCAACATTCGGGCAGCGTGTGACGGTTTCATTGGCCGTTTGAAGACCATACTTCGTGCCAAAGGTGACCAATTTCCGATATTTCGACTTTTTTGCTTTCATTCAATAAACTTTTTTAAAAAAAAATGTAAAAATTACGGCGTTTGACTTTGCTCTAGTTTTTTATCTCGCCCTGTATGTTTGAACATTGTTTGTAATGAGTTAATATGCAGGGCAACCATTCACAATGAGTTTTGTACTATTTCGTTTCCAATGTTACATCATCCAGCAGAGTACATATCAGTTTTGTTTTTGTTTCCACTCATCCACGCAAACAGTACAAAATAAAAAACAAGTCCCGTTATCCTAATATCGGTTTTGTTTCGTTTCGTACTTCGAGAAAATACAAAACGATGGGAAGCGTTTGCTATATTTTATATAGAACAGTGTTGGCTTGTTTGTTCGGGATACCCTACGCTGATTGGAGTACAGAAATATAATTTACCAAATTAAGCAATTATTTCATTATTTGGAAAAAGAATGAAGCTGTATACATTTATCTTTTTCATTGAATTTCTATGATAACCAATTTAAGTTTTTTAAAAAAGAGATATGTTAAAGCTAAAACTAATAAAATATTTCTCTCTATTTAAAAAGAGGCAAAAGATAGGTGCAGATTTGCTCGTTTTAGCTCGACGTTTACTCTCCACTATTTTGTTTTATGAGAATGTGCTCCCGAGTCAATCCCGTTTGGAAAATTTGTATGTAAGTCGAATCCTAGATAATAGTTTACTCTAAAAGTGAAATCCAGGAAGAAATTGTTTTGCTGATTTTTGTGTGTGTTCGTACCACAAATATGAAATTGGCCTAAACATATATATGGATGCTGTATACAAATATATGAATATTTTAGGTAAGGGTAAGAAATATAATTAGTAATGAATAGTGTGTAATTTTTTAGTGATACGGTACTAAAGTCACGACAT